CCCGCCTGAGTTGAAACAGTTGAAGGAGTAGTTGCAAGACTTGCTTGGAAAAGGTTTCATTAGACCTAGTGTTTCACCTTGGGGTGCGCTGGTGTTGTTTGTTAAGAAGAAGGATGGATCGATGAGGATGTGTATTGATTACCGGTAGTTGAACAAGGTTACAATCAAGAATAAGTATCCATTGCCGAGGATTGATGATCTATTTGATCAGCTTCAGAGTGCTAAGATATTTTCGAAGATTGACTTGAGATATGGCTACCATCAGTTGAGGATTAGGGCATCCGATGTCCCTAAGACAGCTTTTCGCACTCGGTATGGGCATTATGAGTTCTTGGTGATGTCATTCGGGTTGACAAATGCCCCAACAACTTTTATGGATTTGATGAACCGAATGTTCAGGCCTTACTTGGATTCGCTCATGATAGTCTTCATTGATGATATTTTGATCTATTCCCGCAGTCAGGAGGAGCATGAGCAGCATCTTAGAGTGGTTCTTCAGACTCTGATGGATAGTAAATTGTATGCCAAGTTTTCGAAGTGTGAGTTCTGGTTGAGTTCAGTTGTATTCCTGGGTCATGTTGTATCAGCAGAGGGTATTTAGGTTGATCCGAAGAAGATTGAGGTGGTCAAGAACTAGCCTAGACCAGCATCAACTACAGAGATCTGAAGTTTCTTGGGATTGGAAGGCTACTATTGTTGGTTTGTGGAGAGGTTTTCATCTATCGCAGCCCCGATGACCAGGTTGACCTAGAAGGGTGACCAGTTCAGATAGTTAGATGAGTGTGAGGCAAGCTTTCAGAAGCTCAAGACAGCTCTGACTACGACACCAGTGTTGGTTTTGCCCACAGGTTCAAGGCCTTATATTGTTTATTGTGATGCATCTCGTATTGGACTTGGTGTGGTGTTGATGCATGATGGCAAGGTCATTGTCTATGCTTCACGACAGTTGAAGATTCATGAGAAGAACTATCTGGTTCATGATTTGGAGTTAGCAGCCATTGTTCACGCGTTGAAGATTTAGAGGCATTATATGTATGGCATGGCATGTGAGGTGTTCACGGATCACAAGAGTCTACAGTATTTGTTCAAGCAGAAGAAGCTAAATTTGAGGCAGAGAAGGTCGTTGGAGCTATTAAAAGACTATGATATCACCATCTTATATCATCCGGGAAAGGCCAAAGTGGTGGACGATGCTTTGAGTAGGAAGTCAACCAGTATGTGCAGTCTTGCTTATATTCCGGTCGGTGAGAGACCGCTTGCCTTGGATGTTCAGGCTTTGGCCAATCAGTTCGTGAGGTTGGATGTTTCTGAGCCCAACTGTGTGTTAGCTTGCACTGTTGCTCATTCTTCCTTATTTGAGCATATCCGTGATCAACAGTATGATGATCCCCATTTGTGTTAGAGACACGGTGCAGCACGGAGGTGCCAAGCAGGTTACCTTAGGTAATGATGGAGTTTTGAGATTGCAGGGTTGAGTTTGTGTGCCTAATGTGGGTGGACTCCGAGAGTTGATTTTAGAGGAGGCCCATAGTTCTCGGTACTCTATTCATCCGACCCCGCTAAGATGTATCAGGATTTGTGGCAGCATTATTGGTGGAGGAGAATGAAGAAGGATATCATTGCGTATGCGGCTCGGTGTTTAAATTGTCAGCAGGTTAAGTAAGAGCTGTCACACCTCCTTTATCATACACCCCCGGAAGGGGATATAAGGGAGTTTTTTCCAATTTAAAGTGACAATCGAAATGAGATTTATTTATTTAAAAGATTCAGAGTCGCCACTTGGGATAATTTATGATGTCCCAAGTCACCGGTTCAAATCCCGAATCGAGGAAGAGATTGACTCTGTTTAACAGTTCGCGAACCAGAAATCCGAGTAAGGAATTCTCTTAACCCGGGAGAAGGTGTTAGGCATTCCCGAGTTCCATGGTTCTAGCACGGTCGCTCAACTGTTATAATTGGCCTATTATCTGATTTTAACACATGTTTTAGCCTATAGTTCAATTTTAACTTTTTAACTGCTTCTATTCATTTTTAAAGGAAGATTGCAACGTCATTTAAAATGCGTCTTGAACCACGTCACATAAATGTACCCGCAGTCCGCAACACATTTTATCTAACGTTGTTGAGATTTGGATTTGGGTCATATAAATGCGCACCGGAATTTAGGAAGGTAAATTATTAAAATAACGCGCCCAAAGCAACTACGCGCTTTCAACTTTGCGAGGGCCATGGAGAATTTACTAAATGGCACGCCTTGAATTCTAAGGATTTGAAAGAAATAAATAAATGAGGGCCATGAGTTTTGGGATTTTATTCGACATGGCGCACTTCGACCTATTAAAACAATTTAAGAAAGCTTGCTCGAAGTTGCGAAATGCATATTCCGAATTTATTTAGAATCGTAATTATGTCATGCGAGCGTGTACACAATCACGATAGATGTATTAAGAGCATTCCCAAAAGTAACGATCAAAATAATAAAGCAATACCAAATACGACCCTGCCCAAACCCAAAGCTATATTTCCTATCTTTTTTTAAGATGAAACTTTTAAACCTATCCAAATACATTTTTATAATAGTATTTATACCAAAAAAAGAAAAAGAAAAAAAATTAGTAGCATCACACTGTTACAGTCCAAAGAAGGTTAGAAACCATAAAAGAGTAAAAGTACAATAAATCCCCAAGGTAGCCCTCAAATGAACTGTCATCTCCTATGAAAAGCTTATTCAACTTCAAACAGAACTAACACATCTTTAAACAAATCAAACACGTCATATTACTGCCCTTCCTAGCCGCTAACATCGAAAACCACATATTTACAACAACAAAACCAAAGCATATGATATGAAACCTCAGATAAAAGCTCCAAGAAGACACCCAAAGAACAAAATTTAAACCTTAGTGGCGGAGTTTCTCCGGCAACAAATATTAACCAACCAATGCAGTATTATTATCAGTGACACAATAAAATAGAAACTAACCTTACATGGGAAATAAAAGAAATGAATCCGATGACCTCTGGACAGAACTCAAACCGAAAACCAATGAAAGTACCTTGACAAATCGCCGACCTCACCGGAAAAACAGGAACTCCGATGGACAACCAAACGGACTCTGCCGGATTTTGAACGAAACAATAATGAGATGAACTAGGCGCATTTTCCGGCAAATCTGGGCAAGAAACGAGACGCTCCTTTCTTTCTGATTCCTAGCCGGATTTTGGACTGTTTTTCGAGGCTCCTTCGGAGTGGTTTACAGGCGAGTTTACTGGGAGTTGTCAGCTCATTTTAGAGCTCTATTCGGCTGCTTCCATGGAGTTTGGAGGCATGAGAGTAGTTGCTGGCTGGGGTAGTTTGGGTGTGTTATGGCTGAAGGAAAAGGGTGGAGATGGCTGTTTGGTTCAGGCTTGCGTGAGGATGGTAGTTGGTGGACGTGAAGAGGTCCGGCGACGATGGTGAGCTGAATAGTGGTCATCGATGGAGCTTCTAGANTCCCTAGTTGATGCCAACATAACCTAATGCCTCCACTCATTAGTTGATGCCAGCATAACCTGATGCCAACATAGAGTCACCACTCCTAGTTGATGCCAACATAGGGTCGCAACTCTCTAGTTGATGATTCTCCAATAATAGGGTCTCTAATCCCTAGTTGATTTCATTTTAGATATAGGATCTCCACTCCCTAATCTCCTTTTCCCAAGGATACACATGCCTTATTTATTGCTTTCAATAATGAAGCAGTATAGAGTTTTAATTACAAATAACTCACGAAATTTTCTTAGTAAAAATTGGGGCAGAAAAATTCCGTTCGTTTTTTTGTTTTGGTGTCTGAGCAGGTTATACCTCGAGACACAGGGTTCGAGACGACCAAAAGAAGAAGTCTCAATACAGAATAAAAGAAAAAGAAGAAAAGAAAAAGAAGTGAACTCAAAGTGCAGAAGCAGAGAAAAGATGTGGAATGCTCAAGACATGATTGAAGTCACAAACTTTGCATGTCCCGCCTTTATCCGAGAAGCTGAAAAAGAATGAACCAGCACCTACAGCTAACAAGCATCAAGATACAGATCAAAGTTTGCATGAAGAACCAGCCAAGGCTCAAGATCAAGCTCCAGAAGACTCATAGATAGGAATCTTGTAACTCGTAGCTGATAGGCTTAGTTAGTCTTTTTCATTTTTGATTTTGGTGTAATAAGGAGCTCAGTAAGCAATAACAACAGTAACAATAGTGAAATCACAGTTCCTCGGTAGTCCCAGCTACTAAAATTTCTAGAACTACACTGGCCTGATTCCTTTATAGCCAAGGATATGTAGGCAACCTCCGAAGCAAGGTTCGGTCAGACTTTTCCAAAAAATGCTTTCCATGGAGTTTCAAACGGGCAAAAATTACTCGTAATTGCTCACTTTATCTTTACCCGAAAACTCTTCATGTTTCTGAGCAAAGAGGGACAGCTGTGAGCACCTAATTTTTGCTCCGCATGGAAATAACTCCTAAAAATAGACCAAAAATAATTTTAATGGATTTTAAGATTTTTTCTTTATTTAGTTACATTTCATGCATGTTTAATATTTTAAAATTATAAGAAAAACTATAAAAATTATCACATTTTAATTTCATGCCATCTTAGGTTTAATTTGTATTTAGGAATTAATTACATTGCTAAATTTAAACAACTAAAAATCAAAAAATGTATTCTTAGGTTAGTTAATTAATTAGGCAAAATAGATAAATAATTTGGCCATACAAATTAGATTAAACTAAATTAGAGTTTAAAGTGGCTAACAGTGCAAATTTTAAAGAAGGAAAAGAAATAAAAGGGCTTCCAAGCTAAAAATCGAACTGGACCATTTATTTCAAGCCCAATTTTTACAACATTCTGCCCCAACCCAATCCAATACCCGGTCCAAATGCCATTAAGGCCTGACAATGAAACGATGTAGTATGGTGGCAAAACTACGTCGTTTTTCCTTTCTTCATTTCCCTTAAATGCCTAAAACCTAATCCTCACCCCTTAGACTAGGGATCAGATAAAACCCTCCCCAAAAATTAAAAACCTAGCTGCTAAGACACAAAAAAATGGGACCCCCCCTTCTTGATAGAAACAGCGCACCCCTCACTCTCACCCTCTAAAAAATCTGCTCCATCTCCAACGCCAGCGACCCCCCATCTCCAATGCCAGCGACCTCGCTCCAGCCATACTCCCCTCTTTTCCCTCTTTTCTCCACCTCGCCACATCTTTCAAAACTGCAGAGATCTCAGTGATATCAAAGCATCAGATAAGGCATGATTCGACCTTTACACTCAAGGATCATGAAGATCTAGTGGTCATTTAAACAAATCCATTCGAGGTCCAGAGAATAAAAGTACGAATGGACTTCAACGACTGAAAAACCAGCGCGATTCAAGCATTTCCACCAAGATCCTACACAACACTTATTTTCTCTCAAATCAGTTCTCTTATAGCGTCCAAATAAATTAGCTCATGCGCATAACTATTGAGATTGAAGAGCTTTTGTTTGCTGCTGTTATGTACTGGAGCTTGTACAAGCCGTTCTCTTTAGCTAAGAGCTCCAAAGTTCAGTCGACGAGGCCATTGGTAAATTCTTTGGTCGAGAGTTGATTAATCTCCAAGTTGGTTGTAATTTAACTCAAATTCAGTACACAGTTTATATTGGTGGTCCTCATAGAATACCTTATATTTCTATTGGAGGTAATATTTTCTCCCCCTTTACTTTGGTTTATTTGATTTGTCATATATTTGGCCTTTGCTGGTATATTTGAGTTTCAAGATTTAGTAGTTTTCTTTGTTTTGGTATGTGGTGTTAGTGTTATTTTTTAAAGGTACTTTTTGCATTTTTGGCTGGTTTTGATTTTGGTATCTTGACTTCAGTAGCTGAAGTTATTAACGTGTAAAGGTTGTTGGAATGAAGTTAGCTGCAGCTTTTAGTTTCCTCTAATATTAGGAAAGGTTTATATATAGAAGATACTGATCTTTAGCGTAAAGCAAGGGATACTCTTTCAAATTCATTGTTTGGGAGAAGAAAATCACGAGATTCAAGAGCACAATTTAAAAACCTCGCTTTATGGGGAGGATGATTACAATGGACATATTTTAGTGTAGCAAAGTCAAAATTAAGTAATGGAACCTTTGAGACAAGTGATAAAATTAGTTTTAAAGTGCACTATTTTAATTCCTTTGACTCTTAATTTTACTGAGATTTATGAAAAAAGAGTATTCATCGGTAGGTTTGAGAGTTCACATATTGATTTCGCCAAAATAATTCCAAATGGATAAAATACTTATTAATCTTCAATCTTTGCATATCCATAACTCATGGTCTCATAGTTGATTTCAAAATTACGATAAGAATTAATATTCGTAGTGTGCGCTAGGCGCGATTAATAATAAACATCATGACTATGGGTACGGTTCCCGCGACATAGTCATGATACATAATTCCCAATTCGAGTGTGCATTTTATGTGACTCGACCACAACTTCAAACAATAACAATGCTGAACATGTTGTAAATCGATGGTGCATTTCATGTGACGCGGTTTGCAATATGTACCAAAACAATAAGTATACGACAATCATGGCTTATTTCAAAAATAAATCCATAAATAAATAAAAGTGGTTATAAAAGTTAAAAATGCACAATAAGTTTAAAACATGTAAATAATCAGATAATTAGGCCAATTAATAATAGTTGAGCGACCGTGCTAAAACCACGGAACCCGGAAATGCCTAACACCTTCTCCCGGGTTAACAAAATTCTTTACCCGATCTTCTATGTTCGCGGATCAAAAATAGAGTTAATTTCCTTGATTTGGGATTTAAAATAAACCGATGACGTGGGACACCTTAAATTATCCCAAGTGGCAACTCTAAAATTAAATAGAATAATCCCATTTCGATTAATGTCACTTAAATTGAAAAAATTCCCTTATACCCCCTCAGGAAAAAGGAGGTGTGACAGCGCTTAATTATTTTATTACTTGATCACCAATTAAATAGTATCTATGAATATAGGGTTGAACTCGGGAGATGGAATTTTAGATTGCAAATAGGATTGAGTAGAGCAAGATCTTAAACCTGAATTACGGGGAACAGATTTGCGGTTAGGATAGGGATATACCTAATCGCCTTGCTTGGTTACTATACGGGAAACATTAACGCGTTCTTGTTAATCCTGATTCCATAGGAATATAGGCGTTAGGTTAGTTTGAATAGGCTAGTAGTACTTCGGGAGAATACTACGAGGAATATTAACCATGTCAACAATAAACTAGATAATTTAATTAGACAACTTAATTGGAAGACTCAACGGGATTGTTAGCTAACCTATAAATCTAGAATATTTTCTCCCATTGAATTCATCTATAAGATTGCCGATTTATTTCCTTTAATTTCTTAGTTTGCTACTCTCGATTAGTTGTAGTTAAATAATCACACTTTAGAAAATCGCTTGAATAGATTAATTGTGTTAGTTTAATGTAGTTGATAGTTAATCACAAGTACTCTTAGGAATGACACTCTACTTATCACTTTATTACTTGTCGACTGTGTATAATTGCGTGTGCGTTTGGAGCAACAAGTTTTTGCGCCATTGCCGATGACTTAGAAATTAGCTATTCTTCTAGATCATACTTTTACTTTTATCTTTACAATTATTTTTTTGTATATATTTTTTTAATAATTATTTGATATTTTCTATTAGTGTGTTTCAAGTTCTCTCAGCATGATATCTAGGGATCAAAATATACGTAGGTAAGATTATTGATGAAGACGCTTGGTTGACAGAAGACTTTTATGGCCAGTATTTTTTTGGCTTGTCATGACCTGACCTCTTGGAATTCTGAATTTGAATATGGGAGTAAGGGTTGATATTGTGACGAACATTATTGATTAAGGGAGTATGCGAAATGACGTTGTTTACTAACAACGTTAATGAATGATTGGTTTAAGGAGAGAGTTGATCTTGCACAAAAAATTGACAGGTTTGGCTTGGCTATGTCTCAACTTGGATGCAGATTTGAGAGCAAAGATTGATGCGTGTAACACCCAACAATTTAGTGACGAGCTCTGTGAAGCTGAAAAAGATCTTCTAGGCCAAATTGAGGAGCTAAAATTTGAATACCAATCATTAGATCATGTTCTTGTTGCTGATGCAAAGGTTGAGGGGGTATATAACTGAATATGTCAAAAATAATATAGTTTTGGAGTTGGGGCGTGTTGGTTCTCATTCTAAATATTTTTCTACATTATGTTTGGGTGGAGACATGGAGATCGAGCCTTTAGAGAGATGTCTAGATGAAGAACAAAACCCTTACATTCTAAAATTTGCCACATCAAAAAGACAAAACAACATACCTCACTTAAGGGCCAAGAAATGCAAAATACGATATCTATTGCTTGGTTCTTTTATTTTCACACCATCACCCCAGGAACGTGATAGAACAATTGATGTAAAATTGGGGGCACAATTTATATTATCAAAGTGGTAAAGTGGTGCATGTCGTGCCACGACTACAAATAAGGCGCTTATGGGAAGCAACCCAAATCTACTGTTTATTATTTTATTTTTTGTTCTTTTTAGGCAACACAACATGATATGAAACAATGCCTGTAATCACTGCATAAGAATGAATGGCCTTGGTCCTCCCTGGGAACGTATAACATCTGGCCTGACCTTCACTAGACTAATCCCCCTCTAGGATGACCACGTCCTAGATAACCTCCACCCCGAGCTGGCTGAACGCGTGGTGTAGCAATTGGCACATGAATTATAGTACGTCCTCCCTTTTGCCTTGAACCCCTGCGAGGACGGGGGCAATATTTCCTAACATGCCCAGATCTCCACGCTCAAAGAAACTTTTAATCGAAAATGACTGTGGGGCCTGAGTCGAACCATGTGAACCAGAATACCTACCAAATGAACTTGGTACCGATGAACCCTGAATAGATAGAGCACGATGAGAACTATGCACTAGAAGTCCACTAAATAAGGAATGCATAAAAGATCCTCGATTGGGTGATGGTGTATAATCAGCTGGCCTGCTAGAATGGCCTCTCCCATATCAACCTTGACCTCCAGACGAGGCACCACTGAAGCTACCAAAATATCGGAATCTCTTAGTCCCTAGCATGCATTATCTCCCTAGTCTCATTGCGAATGCACTCAACACAGCGCGCTATCTCCACCACTTGGTGAAATAATGTCCCGATCTCAGTTTCTATAGCCATAATAAGGCAAATACTAGGGTGAAGATTGTCAATGAATCTCCTCACTCTCTCCTCCTCAGAGCGAATCAAAACAGAATCAAGATGGGACAACAACTCTGTGAACCTTATCTCATACTCAGTAACTGACATCTGACCTTGCTGAAGGTGCTAAAACTGCCTCCTCAACTCCTTTCTCCTGGTGTAGGGCATAAACTGCTCTAAAAAGACCTAGGAGAACTGAGCCTAGGTAAGAGGAGGTGATCCTCCTGGTATTCCCAACTCTAAAACCTACTACCAACTCTTGGCTAGAGCCTGCATTTGGAAGGTGGTGAAGTCAACTCTATTGGACTCGACTAGTTCCAAATTAACAGAATCTCATGACAATAGTCCAAAAACCCTTGGGCATCCACTGAAGTTGTACCATTGATGTGACAAGGATGCAACTTCCTGAACTTATCCAGTCTCCTAAGCTAATCGAGTGACATCGCGAGCCTCTCCTCAAGCTTCATAGCAACAATAGGTTGAACTTGCATGATTTACTTTCGCTGTTTCATCCATGTCTATGATGATTTTTCCTTTACTTACTAGCAATGATTTTTTCCTTCGAGACGAAGCATTTCTCTATAGGGTGACCAATGATGTGATGAAACTTGTAGCATTTCAGATTGCCGACTTTGCCAGTTTCCTCAAGCCTCTTTGATTCAGGGAGATCGATGACTTTCTTGGCTAGCAATTCATCAAGGATTGTTGGTACGTCTGAATATGAAAATGGATAAACCTTCACCTCTAATTCGTTCAAGGTTAGACGATGTTTCTCCTCTTTCAAACGTTGACTCGACGTCTTCTCCTCTTTCACTTTTTACTGGGTCATGACTAGGGGTGGCAAACAGGTGTGTCGAGTCGGATATGGGCAGGTCAAAAATGGGTAATACAAAAATGATAAATTATTTGACTAGACCAATATTTAATACGGATAAAAAATAGGTTAACCGACAGATAATATGGATATCCATATTAACCGTGTTTTCTTGAATATGATCACTTTTGGGAGAATCCTAGTCTCCCAAATTTGAGGAACCCTCAATTTGAGGCTTTACAAATGTAAAAGTTAAATCCAATGATTATCCATTTTTAAGTGGACAATATGGTTATTATCCATATTTGACCTATTTTTAAAAAGTCTATTATCCAATCTCTTTTTAATGGATAATCTGAGTGGATAAATATTTTCTTTTAACTATTTTGCCACCACTAGTCGTGAATTTCACCGAAGTTGCTTTCACCGCCATAGATTCTTTAGTTTGGTTCTTTGATGTAACACTTTTCTTGAACTCCTTTTCATCATCAAATGTGGATGCCTTTCCATGACTTGCGATGCTCAACTCCATGTCGTATTGTAAGTTCTTCGAAAATTCGCGGTTTGATCCCTTGTAGGATGTACAAAAGGCCCCAGTGCATTTCTTGAATACACATCTCTACACCGGATATTTCTAAAAGGCGAACCTTGCAGTTCAAACTTAACGTTGTCCAACCGTTGATGTAATCCACTAAGGGCTTGTCCTTCCTTTGCTTGGTGCCTGTCAACTCTATCATGCTTACTGTTATACGGGTATTATAAAAACGATAGAAGAATTACTTCTCAAGTTGCTCCCAGCTATCAATAGACTCGGGCTCAAAGTCGATGTACCAGTCAAATGCTTTCCCTTTCAACCAACGAACAAACTTTTTTACCAAAAGATTACCATGTGTTCTATTGCTGCTACAAGTCTTGACAAAGTGGGCGCTATGTTGCCATGGTTTCCTCTGCCATCAAATTGATGTACCTTTATTGGTTGATAATTGGCTGGCATTGTTATCCAATCAATCTGTTTAGTATAAGGCTTAGAGTAATACAAGGAACTTTGTAATGGTCCGCCATATTAAGCTCTGATATTGTTTGTTATCATGTCTTGCAATTGTTGGATAGATAACGCCGAAAATGAAGTGAATTACTTTTCCTTGTGATGTTTAACTTGACAAGCGATTCCCCAACAACCATTTTTTGCAAGGTGAAACCAGGTGAACAAGCAGGGACGTGGCTCGACTCTCCAGGTGCATAGGCCTCCAATTTGTGCATGAGTTGAGCGATTTGAAGGTCATTATCTTCAACAGATTTCTTCAAGAATTCTGTAGTCTGCTCCATCATCGCAAACTTTTCGTCCACGTTAGTTGCATCAGTCTTAAGGCATTGACTTTTGTTGAAATTGGAGAATCCACCAAATCCTCAAATTCGCCAAGGTAGGAAGTTGTTTGAGAAAGTTCGTCAAATGATTGCGGTTGCGATCCCCATGTGATATTTGCTCTTCGTTATCATCCCCAAAGAGGTAAAGTATTCGGATCTATCCAAGCCACTAGACTTGAACTTGCTTCGAGTGATGGGGCCATGACTGAGATCAATAGATGCAATAGTGGTAGTGTCCTTGCATAGAACATCATCACACTTTCGGAAGGCCTTTTGCAGTAGTAGATCTGATGTTTCTTGTTTTTAACTTGCAAGAGGAAGAGATGTAGGGAATAACTGATCCCACTAGACGTACCAAAATTTATTGCAATAGTATAGAAAATAACAAAAAAAGAATATGAAGAAAAAGAGATTTTTTGATAAATATTTGTGAGTATAATTTTATGTATCCCTTGATTCTCTTCTCTGAAATTCTACGCGATTCAAGGGTTTGAGAAGAGACTTTCTTGAATGTAGGACGATGCAACCTCCTTGTGTTGTATTTAATCGCCAAGAATGTCGAGCAACACTTCGTTATTTCGGGTTGATCTCTGGGGAGAACTCCATTGACCACTCCTTTGTTGAAGAACTATGCGCTTGATGATCAATCTCTCTGTTTGCAGATGCTTTCACCAATTGCGAGATTCTTTTCTTCAACTCTGAATGTCCTCCAAAGAGTTATGTGATTCCCTATCTATAGTTGTAGAGGGTGATTAATCTAGTTACATATGAACTCTCTTGCTTGGTTATAATCGGCTCATATGGGTCATCAAACTTATAACATAAGTTATGTGATGAGGTTGCATGTAATTGGCCAAGATATATCTTTTTGGACATTTGGCGACCTTTGATTGGTCATTGCTCTTTGACTGAGATTGACTTATTTTAACACGTGGCTTCATCTTGTTGGCTTTGAGTTTGACTGGATATGCCATGTCACTTGATACATGCCATGAACCTGGGCCTCAAGATGAAATGGATCTTGAGCTTGAAATAATAAAATGAACTTATTTAAATTGTAAAGCCCGAATTAATTATTCAACGCAAATAAATTTAAGATATAATCCAAATGTTGTATGGACTATACCCAATAAATTTTATATTTCTTACATACCCCTTTGTTAAGTTTCAAATGTCACCAGTTTTTGGTGGATTCTTTCTAATAAAAGAAGTTGATAGAATTCTCTCGAGACAGTAGCGCTAATAGTTTCTAAAATTGTAAGTTCCTCACAATGATCTTCAGTATTGATAGCATTAGAAATACTTTGGGGAAAGGTAAACATAGAACATCTTAACATCGTCTTAGTCAGATTAATCTTTTTTTCTTTTTCGTATCTAGCTTTCTTATGATTTTTAATCGATGTCTCCACATTTTTTATAAGATAGAGGACACAAAGTTGATTGCCAAGCCAAGGCAGGAACTAACGGCACAAAGGGAGAGCTAGATACATCTGCCAAAAAGTTCAAGATTTTTCTATTCCTTGCATTCATTTACCTATAACTATTCAGTATCACTACAAAAAATTTATCGCATGGGAATGTTCAGAAGCCGAATATATGAAAGCAGGAGAAGTTATTGCAATTGTGGGATTTTGTTTAGTTCAAGCTGCTTTTCTTTAGTAAATGATAAAGTTAGCTTATTACGAGCATTTGAGGATTAAATGTGACGGTGATAATAATTTAAAACGTTTAGAAGAATTAACCCATAAAACTAAGACCCAAAGTGTAACGACCCGACCGTTTGTTTTGAGCATTTGCAC